GGAATGCAAGGACGGTTCGACAGTTGAAAACGGGCTGATGCCATGCACCCCCTTGGCAGAATTAAGGCGGAAACCCACACCATCATTTCCACGGATGAACAGAAAACATCTGATGAAATTCCAACCTCTTTCCTGACTAAATAGAAAAGAGAACCAGTGAGCTGTTTGGCAGCGAGGAGTTAAACACACACCTACCTCTCGTGTGGCCCAGCAACGCCACCTGCACACAGTGGGGGGGCCGGTGAGGGGTGGTGACAACAGTCCCCCTGGAGGCTACCCACGTGTCTGCCACCAGCGGCACGTCCCCAGCACGGCAGAGACTGCGCAGCCAAGAGCTCCGAGGACCCACCCTTAGACCCACGCGACGAGTCTCAAGATACAGTAAAATATGAGGCCCTGCTGTACACTCTCACTCACAGACTCTAGAAAAGCCACAGAGGGCTCACAGACACTCCCGCCTCCTGCCGTGGCAGAGAGTGGGGAGGGGGAAGGCGGGGGGGGGTACCCGGGAAACTTTCGGGGGGAGTCAAGCCTCCTGTGTCTTGACTGACTGGGACGCCGGATTGATTACAGCTGCCAACAGCGTCACCGGCACCTTTGAAACTGGCACACTGAACGGCATATAAACACGTTCATAAACAAAAGGGAGAAAGAAGGCAGGACTGACCCGTACGGCACTGAGTCTGAGACGCACTCGGCTGATGAAAGAAGCCAGACTTCGCTTACGGGATGTTCCAGAACAGCCAGAGGACCCCGCGGGAGGGAGAGCAGGCCCAGCTGCTGGCGGGGAGGGAGGGGGGTGAGCCGGGGGTGGAGTGTCTCGGGGCCACGGAAACACTCCCCTCCGATGTGCCAATGCGGCTCTCCCCAAGGCGCTGGGGTTCCTTGTTCACCGATCCCATAAAGTGTGTAAGTTATACCTCAGCTAATTGGTTTGAGGACTCGCAGGGCGTCCAGGGCTCGGGGGTTAAGGGGACGCTGCTCCGAAGCTGTGAGGGCACCTGTGTCCTGGCAGCAGCGGCTGAGGCCCAGGCACCCGGGAGGCCGCCCCTGGAGGCTCTCAGAGACGAGCCCCCATGGCACCTGGGTGCCTGCCGCCCTCAGGGCAGCCTCCTGGGTGCTTGGCGGGACGGACACAATGGGACTGGCACCTCTACCCAGAGGCGCTGCCAGCGTGTTATTTCAAAAGGAAGTTACATCCCACCAGAGGCCAAGGCCAGGCCAGGGGCACACCCCCTGCTCCCCGGGCCCCACCAGAGGCTGCTGGGCTCACAGGCCAGGGGGCAGTGCGGGGTGGTGAGGAGCGGGATGATTCAAGAACAAATCCGCCTTCTAGGCCCTTCTTTGTGGGACAGCCCCTGAGTTCCCCGCCTTGGGCAGAGCAGGCAGGAGGCCCCGCTGGAGGGACCACAGCTGTGGGCTCCCCTCTCCCCTCGAACCTTGGCTGCATCTGTAAGGTCAGAGGTGGCAGCATGGCCTTGTAGGTGGCACAGAGAGGGGCCGGGCCCGGGCAGGGCTCACAGACGCTCCTGCCTCCTGCTGCCCACACGGGGGCATGGGGAGGGCGGGAACAGCCATGCCAGGTGTGTGTGCGTGTCCGGCTGGGACAGCAGGGCCGGGGCCCACAGGCCCCGAGGCTCGGCACCCCGAGGCTCACAGGCCTGCCCCAGGAGCGGGACCTGAACGGCTCGCAGGGCCGGTGGGACGACCCGGGAGGGAGACCACACGGGGCTCAGGTCACGGCCAGCAGGAGCCTCCTGGCGCAGGCACAGCCCTGGGGGGCCCCGGGAAGGACTAACGCGGCAGCCGTGGTTTCTAAAGAGGAGGAAGAGGAGGCGGGCCTGTTCTCAGGCTTCCTCGGGCAACATCTGCCTCTGGTTCCAACATCTGCTGGGGCAGAGTGGGCGGGGCCCCCTGCAGTCCAGGCGCCGTGGGAACGCTGGGCAAGGCAGGTGGTCAGACACAGGAGGGGGCCCTCTGCACGGGGAGCAGGGCAGGGGCCCGGGTGGTGCCCACCCATCCACCAGGTCCCTGTCGGTTCGCCTCCCCACCTCCATCTCCCCGGGGGCCAGGGGCGGCTGGGTGACCGTGGCCACTCAACCATGACCAGACACTTGTTCTGGGTCCTATCTGCTGCCCGTCTCCCCAATGTGAGGGCAGGGGCCCCCCCATCTCAGTCACCGTTGCTCGCAGCCTGTGAGCACAGACCTGCTCAGGGAGCCGGGAAACCACAGGGGCAGGCCCCTTGCCCGCACCAGGGTGCCCGCCCTCTATGCCCGCTCACCCGAAACAACACTGGCCCAGCCCCCCACTGCCTCGACCTGCAGGCACCCACCCGCTCTCAAGCCCCAGGAGCTGGATGGAGCAGGGCTGACCTGAGCCCCGCGGGGGCCGGCCCCCAGCTACGCCTTGCGAGGAGGGGGGCCTTGTGAGAGGGGCGGGGAGTCCCACTCGGCCCATCAACACCCCCCGTCAGGACCCCGTCCTTCGATGGGGCCTGGCACATGGCGTCACTGGCATCACCGGGCGCAGGGCATGCTGGGAAACAGACGAAAACAGGCTGCGCGGGAACACGCCGGGGCTGCGGCTCCAGCGCAGTCGGCTCTCTGCAGTATCTCATCCCCCGATTTCCAACACGAGAGGCTGGCCGCACGGGCACTGCCACCTGTTCCCCAGGAGCCTGAGGCTGCAGGTGGGGTCGCCGGTGTCCACGCTTCCTCCAGCGGGTGCTGCTCACAGACCCCCCTCCCTCGGCACGGGGGAAATCGAGGCCAGAAAGGAGAAGGGAGTCCTGAGTGTCCTGAGAACATTCCAGCCTCGGCCAGCCTAAAGCGAGTCCAGCCCGACCTTGGGCTGGGGACCCCAGGCTGCTCGGCCTCAGAGGGGGCTGAGAGGGTGTCCCCGGACCTGGCCAGGCCCAGGCACGGAAGGAGCTGGGGGAGGGGCCAGCACCTTGGGGGCGGCTGCTCGCCCGCTCACCCCCGTGGCCGCCTCCCCCGCTACCCTCTTCCCAGCATGCCCAGCGCCCAACGATGCCAGCGACGTCACTGCCACTAACCTAGATTTTAACCAAGAACTCACACCCCCTCCCTGCCCCACTTATGGCTCGCGGAGGAGAAGGCCAGGCTGCAGCGTCCTGGGCCAGCTGCAGGCAGCACCGGCCCACCCTGCCCCTCAGGTCCCCAACTTCCCAACACCCAGGGAGGGGGGCCAGGGGGTGGGGGGCTGCGGGGCTCCCTCCTGTCCCCCACACATGGGCGAGCCTCTGTGGGCACGCAGCTTGGGGAGGGCCCAGGCCCTGGCCTCCGGGGACCGGCACCCTTGTCTGAGTACTGGGTGGGGGCTGGGGAGAGGCTCAGGCACCTCAGGGCCAGAGACAGCTTGGCCTTCCCACCCTGGAACCCCACCCTGGCCATTGGCTCCTTGGGAACCCCACTTCCAGTGGCTCCTTGGGAACCCCAAGGACAGGGGTGGCCACCCTGACCAGGCGGAGAGGCTCCGGGCTCAGAGGGGCAGGTGGCCAGCGGCCCGGCGTTTCTCCTTCTCCACGACATGTCACATGGCTGCAGGCTGCCGGGAGGGCGGTCCCCAGACGTGCACCCTCACGGGCCCCCAGTGGCAGTCCCAGCCCTGCCCCCCCCACCCCCGGCACCCTCAGCTGCAGCATGAGAACAGGGAGCTCAGGGGCGTGGTCTTCCCTGGGCCGGGGACCTGCCTCCCAGGGAGGGGAAGCCGTGGGGCTGCCCAGTTTGGGGCTCACCGTGGCCCTTCCCGGCCTCCCTGGTGGCTGTCCGCACACACAGGCAGGTCCCTGGCGGCCCCTGCAAGGCCTGAGCCCCATGTGGCCTCAGGAAGGCCAGGCCGCTGCTTGGCTTCCTGGCTGGTACCCGTGGGACTCGTGCAAATACGACCACACGCGTTTAAGTGAAGCAATGACACCTCAAGAGAAACCGCCTCCCACCCCCAGAGCCTGCGGGAGGGACCCAGCAGGCCAGCCTGGAGGCTGAGACCCAGCCATCCAGTCCTCGGTGGCTTCTGGGGCCCAGCTGCCCAGGGCCCAGCTCCCGCTGCCCTGCCCCCAGGACGGATGGAGGAGCCCCTCAGGGCATAAGGACACAGGACCAGGGGGGAGAGTCCCCCTGCCCTCGGGCCGTCGCTGGGCGCTGCTTCCCGCTGGCACATGTGTCCGGATCCAGTGCCCTGGACGCGGGCCCGCGTGCAAACCAGGGCAGGCAGCGGGCCCAGGCACACCGCCAGATTTCGGGGAACACAGGAGACGGGGGACACCTGATCTGGGGCCCCAACAACGGGACCCTCTGCCCGACAAACCCTGAGCCCTCTCCAGGGACTGTGACGCAGTCTGCAGCGCAGGCGTCTGAATGAGGGCATCTCGGGTTTGTAGGTCCCAAGTGGGGCAGCCCCCCTTCAGCGGGGCCCCGGGAGGTGGTGGCCAACGGGATGGGTACAGGGGGAGCTCTGCCTTCCTGGGGGCAGGCAGGACCGCATGGGCGGAGAGAGGGCTGAGGTCAACGGGCTGTGGGTGACACGAAGCCAGCACTTCACAGACAGGACTCTGAGGCCTGCAGCAGGCGAGTGACTGGCGTGGGCCACACACGGTGTCTTGTGAGCCCCCGGCAGGTCCCTGGTCCACTGGGGCCCTCAGTCTCTTCATCTGCCCGATGGGAGGCAGGGCCTTCTACAGGCTTCACTAGCTGCCCGCGGGCTCGGCTCAGCTAAACGCCTTCCTGTGGCCCCTCATCTCACCGAGGATCAAGTTCAAAGCCCTCAGAGGAGGCCCTGGAGCCCAGCCCAGGCCTGACCCACTCAGGTCTCGGCTCCTGCTGTTGGGGTTCTGGGGGCCCCCCCTGCACATCTCCAGCACCGTGGCCTCCAGCTGTCCCTGACCCACCTGCCTGACACCCAGCAGGGGTCAGGCTTGCTGGTGCCCGCGTGGGGCCTGGAGACGGGCCACGCCGGCGGGGGCGGGCGCGGTGCGTTACCTGCGTAGCTGCCGGTGGCCTTGATGTACATCTGGCCGTACTGCTCCTCCACCATCGTGTCGTAGGCCTCGTCATCCTCCTCATCTTCCTCGTTGTGGTAGGAGGTGGGGCTGTCGGTGGTGGGCAGGCTGCTGGCGCCCGGGCTGGTCCGCTCCCCCTGGGGGTAAGGCACCTGCTGGATGCCGGGGATGAGGGAGGCCAGGCTGGGCACCCCGTAGTAGGAGACGCGGGGCAGCTTGAGCGGGACCGGGCCGGCCGCCACTGCCGCGGCGCCTGCCGTGCCTGCGGCGCCATCCCGGGGCCCGGACTCCAGCGGGCGCTTGGCCGCCAGGCCCGGGCCGGCGGCCGGAGGCAGCTCCGTGGCTTCGTGCTTCACGCGGGTCAGCAGCGGGATGGGCACGGAGGGGGACACGACGTAGGGGGGCCCGGGGGCGGCCGGCGGCAGCTGGTGGCAGGGGCTCTGGGGCTCGGAGCTGGCGTCCTCCATGGCGGCGGTCTGCGAGTCGCAGTGGGGCGAGCTCACCTTGAACAGCAGGTCGGTGCCGCGCTCCACGATGTGCTGGATCTGCAGGAAGCCGGCCGTGTACATGACCACGAGCTGCTCGCTGGCCGCCATGGTCAGCCGGCCCGTGTAGCAGAAGGACAGGATCTGCTGGAAGCAGGCGGGCGGCACCGAGCCCGGCAGCTCGAAGGCGCTCTTGCTGTTGCCGCTGAACAGGTCGCGGAAGTAGAGGCTGCTGGCGGCCAGCACGGCCCGGTGGGCCTTGAAGGCCTGGCCCTTGACCACGATGGACACATCGCAGTAGAGGCCCAGCAGGCGCTGCTCGTTCAGGCAGCCCAGCACGGTGTTCCCGAAGTTGGGGATCTCAATGTGCAGCATCTGAGACATGGCGGGCAACGGGCGGGCCGGGGGTGCCTCCAACTCTCAGCGCGGGAGCGGCCCAAGGGGGCACATCTGTGGGAGAGAGGAAGGGGCGCCGGGTCAGCTTCCTGGACGCCCAGGGCCCCCCCAGGCAGGGCCCCCCACACCCAACCCCCTGAAACACACTCTACCCCAGCACACACCCTGCCCGCTGCTCCCAGACCCCCTGCAGCCAAAACCGTCCAGAGGTCTTGGGGGAACCTGCTCACAGGGGACCCTGGCTGGGCCAACGCTCAGAGCCGCACAGGAGGCCAGAAGCCCAGAGCCCGCTCCGCCCCCAGGGGAGGGAGCGAGCCCTCGGAGACGCCCGGAGAGCAGAAGGCAGAGCAGGGCCATCAGCCCACCAGGCGGGAGGGGCCTGGGCGGGCGCTGCTCACACAACTCTTTCCCAGGAAAAAGTTAGCAGCAAAGCAGCCCCTCACCCGCCGTTCCGCAGGGAGGGGCCGGAACTCAGAGCAAGGGGCGCAGCCCCCAGCACCCCCCCCCCCCCCCAGGCTCTGGGTTTCTGGTTTGTTTTCCTCAGAGCAGCAGCGCAGGGGACAGCTGGGGGCGCCCGGGAAGTGAGCGGGGAGCTGGGAGAACTCCAGGGCTGGGCTCTGCCAGCTCTGCCCCTCCCTGTCCTGCAGAGGAGACTCCAGGGCCAGAGGGGCTCCGTCCAGAGCTGCCCGGTCAGGAGCCCGGCTGCAGACCCACCTGCACAGCCCCGGCCCCTACTTCGAACCCCGGCTAATCCCCACTGGCTGGAGTCCCCAGCCCAGGTGACTGCAGGGTCATGGGGAGACTGGAGGCAGGGACTGGCGGCTGGGATGCCGCTGGGCACCCCGGGGCTGGGGCCGGCTCCGGCAGCGAACCCCGCGCGGATTCTAAGGGGCAGGGGCGGACGGGCGCAGAAGGCGCCGACTCAACTCCGTGCTGCGGGAGCCACACAAAGGGCCGCTCTGTCCTGGGAGGAAAGTGCCGGCAGCCGCAGAGGCTGGGCGACCAGCGGAGGGGGCAGAGCGAGGGCGGAGCGCCCAGACCCTGACGGAGTTGGGCAGGTGGGCAGCCGCGGTGGGGGGCCCCCGCAGTGCCCCCGCTGCGGAGAAGTTGCCTGCCAGGCCAGAGGGAGACCTACCTCTGGCCGCTGCCGCCGGGGGCCCCGCACTGCCCGCTCAGCCCGGCAGGGGAAGGGGCAGGCTCGCCCGCGCGCCGGCCGCCTGTGCCCGCAGCCGCCAGCTGCTCCGGGAATGCAGCAAACGGAGCGGGAGCCCTTGGGGTGGGGAGGGTGAGGAGCCGGGAGGAGGGGGAGGGGGAGGGGGCAGAGCCGCGCGGGCTGGGCGGCCGGCTCAGCTGCACCCAGCCCGGCTCTCCCGGGCAGCGCACAGCATCTAAATGAAGAGGCCGGATGCGGACGGACATCCAGGCAGCTCGGGGATGAATAGCCGCCTTTGATTTGGGAGCCGGAGCCCATGCCAGCTCCCAGCCCGGCTTTAAAAACAGTGGCCTGTCGTGCCAGAGGAATGCACGGCTCCGGGTGTTGGTACAAGACAGACTTTTGATGACTCACTGCAATGCAAACAAAGATGGCAGAAATACTGTACTGTAGCCGGGAACGCTCGCGGTGCCGCGGCAACCGAGACAGCCTGGGAATTTATGGTGCAGTTTTGCATATGAATTGCCCAGTAAACGGCGGCCTGGCCATCCAGCTCAGCCGGGGTGTCAAAGCATCTAAACTATTCCAAACAGTCTGCAGAGCTGGCAGAGCTGACGCCCGCGGAGGGGGCCAGGGGTGGGGCAGTGGGGCAGGAGCCGGGCGAGGGGGGGGGCAGAGGGAGGGGAAGGGGGCAGATGAGGATGAGGCAGGAGCCGGAGAGCCAGGAGACACCAGACCCCATGGGGAGGCAGAGGAGGTGCCCCTTCCCTCCAGTGCCCCACTTCCTGCTTCTCCTTGGGGTCCCAGAGCAGCAGGCCCGGAAGGTCCAGCCCAACACCCCACCCCACTCACCAGGGTCGTCACCCTCCCCCAACCCTCACCTGGAGCGGAATGTGAATACTGTGGGGCAGCCAGGCGCCCTCGGAGGACCAGCCTGGCCCCTGGTGGACCTGCCCCAGCAGGCAGGGTAGCAGAGCCGCCCTCCGCCCAGGTAACGGAGCAGCCCGGGCTGCCCAGGTGGGCCACGGTGCCAACCTCCCTGGGCCCGTCCTGCCCCAGAGCACGGGCACCTAGGCTCACGCCGCCACCTGCTGGGCTGCGTGGGCCCCGGGGCCAACCAGCCTCAGTGTCCCCACCTGCCAAGTGCGGCCCCAGGAAGAGCAAGGGCATCCACAAGAAGGGACCAGGTAGCCACTGGAGGTGGCCCAGGTCTGGTCCCTGCAGCGATGCATCACTGTCCTCACCTGAGGATTAGCCCTGGCGGCCAGGGCAGGAGGAGGCCATAGGGAGGAGGCCGGACAGGCAGCACCCCCCTCCTCCCTGCAGGCCGCGGGAGAGGAAGCCATGGGGTTCCCCATCCCCATCCCCCCCCCCCCCTGTGGGCTCAGCTCCTGAGACCAGATGAGAAGCAGCTGGGGGATCCAGGAACCCCAGGTGAGGGGACCCGACCGCGGGGGGTGGGCAGGGCCGCAGAGGCTGTGCCCCTCACGGACGGACTGATGACTACAGGCGGTCACACCGACAGGGACTGGGATTGGGGCGTTGGCAGGAGCAGCTCTACCAGCGAGGGATGGACTTGGACCCTCAACACGCTGCGACCGGCAGCACCACACCAGCCCGGCTTCGGATCCCACGGCGGGTCCAGCGGGGCCGAACCCCGGGCCTTTCCTTGCCTGCACTGGGAGGCAGCCCAGGTCCCGTGAGGCCTGAGTGTGCGAGCCCAGAGAGGCCACACAGGGAAAGAGAGGGACACCCAGAGACTGGGATGGGGAGGGGAGGGGTGCAACCCTGAGGGGGCCCCAGGACTCAGCCAGCCTCTGCTTGCGGAGCTACCACAGACCCCCCTTATGGAGCCACCACGCCTTCAGGCCCTGCTCCACTGCCGCCTCCTCCAGGAAGCCCACTGGGTGCACTCATGAGCTGGGAGAGTGGGTGGTCTGCCCAATGCCTATGGTTGGGGGATAACAGGAGAGGGGCTATGCTGCCAGCAACACACAGCACAGAGCGGAGGGTCCCCCAACGGCCCTTCCAGGCCCTCAGCCCTCATCATGGGGAGCCTCCCACAGAGCAAAACGGGGTCACCTGAGCCAGACAGGGGTGGGCTGCATAGAGGCCAGCAGAAGTGTGCTGTGCACCAGCCCCAAGTGTCCCAAAGGCCGAGGGCGGGGCAGGCCCATGGGGGGTCCTAAAGGGAGCCTGGGCAACAGCACAAAGCCTGGGCACCTGTCCCTTCCAACAGCGGGTCCTGGGTCCCACGGGCACCACCCCCTATGCCAGGCCCGGGCCCAGCCACACCACATCCACGTCCACACCCTGTGGCCTCGAGCGAATGACAGAGCACCTGAGACCTCACCTGGCACCAGGGTCAGGTGTGCCCTCGGGCGGTCACCGCAGGGTCCAGGGCGGCGATGTGAGTAAAACCCTCGGCTGGGGCAGGTACAGCCTCCACCAGGTGAGCTGTCACCTGCCGTGACCTGGCGGGAGGGCGAGGTCCAGGTGGGTGTCTCGGCCACACCTCCCACCCCTCCCGCCTGGGCCTGCCTCTCAGGGGCCCGCACCCCACGGCTGGGACCAGACCGCTCGCCCAGAGAAGGGACCATTCTTCCCCTGGAAGGTGCGGGCTGTCTGGGTCCCTGGCGCTGCTGCCGCCGTGTCCTCGCGCCACCTGTGCGGGCGAGGCTGGCGCCCGAGGCTGGCCCAGGGGAGCCCGAAGCGAGCTGGTTTTAGGTTGCTTTCTTAGAAGCCTCGGCTGGGGCAGGAACAAAGCTGAACTTTAGGAGAAAAGAATAAAATAAAGGCTTGGTTTACCCTGTGCGGCAGCCAGAGGAGAGGGGGCCAGGGCCTGGGTGGCCACCTGCCAGGAAGGGAGGCACCTCCTCACCTCCCCTGCCGGTGGGGCCTGCCTGGCACCTTGTCCCTCTGCCCCTCTGCTCCCCCCCCCACTGCTTCCCCAGAAATGCCCCCCCTTCTGTTCCCTCCACAGGAGCTCTCTCCTCCACCCCACCCCACCCCCACCTCCACCCCCGTGCTGTTTGCTTACAGAAGGTCAGGAAGAGTCAGGCAGAGAACCCTCAGTTCCCTGTGCCCATACTCAAAGCGACTGCACCAAGGAACCCCCCCAGAATGCCCTTCAGAATGGAACCCCCTTTTGGCACCCCCTGCTGACACCACAAAGCCAGAGTCCAGCGCCCACAGCTGTGGCAGCCTGGGGGGCATCCCACACAGACCCCAGGACCTTCCCCAAGATGAGAAAACGTGGGTGACCAGGGGCTCTTCTCTGTGGACCCTCCCTCTGGACAGCAGGGACCCAGGCCCTGAGGTGTCGGCCCCCCAGGCAGCGTAGCCCCAGCAAGAAGGAGCAGGGTACAGGCTCCAGGAGTGCAGACACACACATGCACTCGTGGAGGTACACACTACGCACATGCATGCACACACATGCACTCACGGGCCCAGGGATCAGCTGGGCCGAGTCCCAGCCGCCCAGCCCCTGCTCCCCACCTCCCTCCCCAGATTCTAAACCACTTCCCGTGGCGAGGGCACAGCAAGGCGCAGGAATGCGGGGTTTAATTTCTGTGGGATCACTACCAGCAGGAAAGGGAGGTGAGACAAATTAAATTAAATAAAATGATTTTGCAGGATTTAATTTTGCCAATCTAATAAGAGGTCTGGACCTCGGCAAACACGCAGTCATCAAACACACCCACAGAAGGGGGAGGGGGTGGGTGCCCTGGGAAACGGCGGCAGGAGAAAACGGAGCCCTGGCCACCCCACCTCCCCTGCCCCAGCCGGGGCCCTGTCCCCTCCCCGGGCAGGCCCCCTGCCCCAGCCCTGCTATCTCAGCAGAAGCCCGCTGTTTGCAAGGACACCCCCCCCACAAGAGTTTGGGGCGAGGACCCGTGGCTGCACCCCCAGGACAGTGTCTGGCAGGGAGGCAGCAGGTTACTCTGTGAGTCAGCATGCACACGTGCGCACACACACACACACACACACACACACACACACACACACGGAGCACACGGCCTCAGGAACACGCCCAGCTGCTGCGTGGAGGCTGATGCGGGGGGCGGTGGGGGTGGGGGGGCTCACTTTGGACAGCGGCCTGCAGAGCCATTGCCTCGCTTTCCCACTGCTGCCCGGGCTCCCTTACTGCCTGCAGGAGGGAAGCGCCCCGACATCCTAGTGCAGAGCAGCTGAGGGTGGAGGTGGGCCCTCTGGGGGCCAAGGTGCCCATCGGCTTCGAGGCTGCCCAGCTCGGGCGTGCCAGGCCCCTGGGGCTGGGCAAGGCACCAACTGCTTCAGGCTTCAGTTTGCATTAAACTTTTAATGCACCATAAAGCAGGGCTGGGCCTCCACAGCCTCACCGCTCATGGGGGGCCGGCCGGCTCGTGAGCCCCCCGAGAAGCAGGAGCAGGGCTCCAGGGTGGGGCCTCAGCTCTCAGGAGCCCCTCCCCCGCCCCCCCCTCCAGGTGGGTGCAGAGAAGGAAACTGAGGCGCTGAGAGGGCAGGCCTCCTGCCGAGGCCTCGGGGCAGGACCTGCGCCCCATCACCACCCTCCCAGTGGCCGGAGGACAGCGCCCTCAGGGCACAGGGCAGCTAAGGCCCAGACGTGCCGGCTGAGCTGCCAGCTGCTGCAAGACAAGGACTCTACCCCAGCCTCCGCCCTTGGCTGCTCAGGAGGCCCTGGGCGGAGGGAGGGGGCACACGGGCCTCGGAACCCTGAGGTTTCTGAGGCCCATGGGCTCTGTCTGGGGCCCCACCTCCCAGACCCCGCCCGGCTCCCCCGTCCCAGCCTGAGAGGCAGAGGTGAGAGGCCTTGGGCATCCGGCCAGGCACCTGGGCCGCCTCCGCCCCAGACCACAGCCTGGACCGGCTGGAAGCATAAAAGCTGGTTTTAACTGCACCAACAAATGTTTGCCTGGAAGCGGTTCTTCCCAAACAGAGGAGGGCGGTGTGCCAGGGTCTGCAAATTCAGAATGCACTCGTCAGTCCTCCTGGCCCCGGAGAAGACACCAGCATGAGCAGGGGGCCTTCCAACCCCAGCCCCGAGGGCCAGGGCACCCCCGCCCCACCACCACCAGGCCCCATCAGACCCCAGCCACAGGGCCCCGGGGTTGGGTG